TGAAAACCCTGGTCTTGCAGATTTATGCGAATATTAGCATGTCGAGATGCCTTACGCTGCTATTGGACGAGAGGCCTCAAGTATTTATCTGTGTGGTGAGTTAACGATTATCGGTCACTATTCAATAAACCGGAACGCGCTAGCAATTTTATTAAGTTCATTAAAGATAATATTTTTGTTGTTAATAAATCTGATGAAATTTCAGTGAAATATTAGTTCGAGAGTTTCGTAAGACGACAAAGGGCGTCTCACATTTTTTTAAGAGATATCATCGATCTTAACATTCTGTCAATCTACCGAATTCGCCTTCTCATCTTCGATCGACAGCGTATTGCTCTCTTACGCAACAATCAACTAACGCGCATTTACATAATAAATCACTGTTTTATGTGATACGTAGTGTCGCCCACTACTACGAACGGAAGAAGACAAAAGGTGTCGCGCGGCTTTCTTTTTCTGAAATTGCTGTTCGTCAATCATCTTGCCGCCTTGGACTGTCGCTTCAACTTCCTACATCCGCATCGGCTTTTCTGTTCCGATGCAAGATAGTTACTGACTTTGCATTGTCTCACAGAGTTGGATTGGCAAAAGGTCTCGCTCGCGTGATTCATGAAATTCAAGGAAATATGCTGAGTCAGCTTATTATAATTGGCGGTCAATAATGAACTCATGAAACAATCAGTTTAGCTGAATTATACACCAAAGTGATGACCTAATATTTGAGCTTATTTTGATATGTGTTTTTACATGTAAATTCTCACAACTTTAAAACTATGGATTTTTCGAATGCAATCGTCGACACTTTCATTGTTTGGGTTTATATATCCATCGATTAATAATTTTCTTGCTGAAAACGACAATAATTAGGAAGCTTAAGATTTTATTTGAATTTTTAGAAAAATAGCAATGCAAATTGTACACATCTTTCAAATAACATTTTTTTGTCCTGGATTAAACGATGTAGTGTTGATGTTTATTACAAAGTAGTGCATGTCGAAATGAAAATACGCAATGAGACGGAAAATTCTTCTTCGTGCTTAATCGCAGGATCGTAAAACATGGTATACAATTTATCACTTGACGTGGAACAAGGCATTAGATTGTGGTTATTAAATTTATGTCTTTCTTAGTATAAATTTTAATTACAAAAGCAATATGTATCATCATATCCATCAACAGTTTTTGTCTACTTTCAATATTTTTTAAAATCTAGAGAAATACATAACAGCGCGAAGTTAAGTGATTCGCATAATTTTACGTGATCTCAAAAAAAAAATGCTTTATCGTCAATAAAAATTAATAAGCCATTTCCTTATAATACTACTGTAACTATAAGCATCGTCACTTACAGTAAAAGGTAAAAGTACATAAATATTATAGGAGAAAATAGTATTCACCCACGTGCAATAAAAAGATTACGACACACACGCGTATGTGATTACTTAACTAAACGAGATGCCGGACATATACATGCACGCGCCTCCTAAAGCACATAGCAAATAAAGGTAAATAGTCCCAACAAACTACGCTCAACAGATGTATTAACCAAGCGAAATCTAAGATATAATAGATTTCTTTAATTCGCTCGGTATCTAGTCTAGCCGTGATCACTCTCCATACTACGACTTAAAGTCGAGGAAATAGAAAGGACCGCCCGAGGCTGAGTAACGAAGATAAAACGCGCCAGCTAATCAGTTCGTAAACATTTCGCAAATTCACTCCCGCGCGCGCTCCTTTGACATCGCGCGCGACTGCGAAAAGAAAAAAAATCGCCGATCAATCTCAGCGAACTCTCATAACTCAGCCCCCAAGCCCCGCGAAGCAATTGCGGTAAGTCGGAGCGCAGAAGCTTCCAGCGACAGACAATGGACGCGATTTAGTAGGATATTTAAAAGCGCGGTAATTCTTTTTTTTTACGCGGCTATTAGGTCACATCTTTCACCGCGAATGCGTGTCCGTCTGAGGACGATCGTATCGTAACGTGTACTTATGCTGCTCTTGCTATCTCCTGAGATTTTCATTCGCCAGCGATAAATAATGATGTAATCGCGGTTTTGTGACAAATTATAATTCTGTGAAAAATTTATGATAACCATTTAATTTATTACATTATTTTGAGATTTTCTTTAAAGTACTGTAAATAGATACTCGATGAGAGCTATAAATTTGCACTTGGAGACAACATATTAATCAATAAAACGTTTAGGGAGCGGCAGCAATCGAAAAATGAAATTTATATTTTTCAGAAAAAGAAAGGTAAAAATTGTAATTTTAATTACCCGTAGAAGCGTTTCGACATTGAGCGAAGCAGCGAGACAAACGGTTAGATATGCTGCGCACAATCTATTTGTCCCGGTGATGTACTAAATAAGCCGAGCTCTATTCATTTTCCGATGCGGCGTCGTCGCCGAGCGATCGGCAGCCGCGATCACCCACACAACAGCCAACCAAGTCATTTATTTTACCCGCGGATGCGCTTCGCTCCTACGGCCATTATTTTACCATGCATTTTTTTTCCTTACCTCCGCTCACTTTTGCCTACTTTTCAATACGCGCAACGGTAGCTTCTTTGCGCACGGTTGTAGGTGTTTTCCCGAGGGCTGCTGTGGGAGAGAATTGCAACGCGTCGTTCCACTTACCGTTGACGTTCGTTATGGAGTAATTAATTCATTCTTCTTTTTGAATAACTTATGAAATCGATGATTGGCTAGCTATTAAGTTTTTTCTTCTTTTTTACTTTGCATGTTTATAAGTAGAAGTCGATAATATTGCTGGATAATGTTTAAATTTCAGAAACTGCTTGTCATTTTTTCAAATACTAATTTGAAAATGACTAACATACTTAATTTTGTTCAAGCATTTGCTGTACTTGTGGTATTTCATGAAAATACCACAGAATTGTTGTTATCAATAATTTCTTTTAATCTATATTCGTTTAAAATAACTTGCTGCAAGCCGTCAATCAAAATCCACCTATACAATTTATTGTTCAAGGTGGCATTCTTGTTGGTATCTTGCATCAGTTTTACAGCAGAAATGAATTCGCTCTCGTCTTATCAATCGGCTCAAATCGATACATCTACCCGCTCGCAAATTTCATCAACTTGCATTCAAAGTCAGCCTTACAAAACGACTGCACGTCCCTCGGACAAATTTATGACACCTCGGCGCGTATTTCTTCTTCTCGGCGGTTGTATTTGTAAAGAGTTGAAGAGATCCTGCAAAGCCGAGTAGCGACACTTGAGAGACAAGAAGAAGAGTACTTGGGGATCTTGATATCTTTCGCGCGCAAGCGCGAGCGGAAGAGCGGAGAAAAAAGACGTGATGGCGACAGTTATCGATGGCTTATCGTATGTCTGTCGTCGTCGTCGCATCTTTCGAGGCACTGGTGGCGTAACGGTTTTTCATTAATGAGACGCGATCGCGGTCAGTCACGCGAGAGTATAAAATCTTTCCGAGATTTATTGGCGGCACCTTGCGCGCGACTTTGTGACGTATAGTTCTGTTCCTGCAGGAACTTGCTTCACTTCAACTTCATCGCCAAATGTTTGTAACGAAATCCATTCGTTTTGTCTTTCAGCGAATATAAATAAATGAATGACCCCGAGAACGGAGACAACGAGCAGAGCTTATTTTTATGGCGCTTGATAGACAGCCTAAATTGCTCGGTTCGAGCATAAATATCCTGTGCCAAATGCAGCCGAGTCTTCAGGATTTATTTTTAAATACGTTCGTAAGTAAATTTAAAAAATAATTAGCTCTCCGAAATCGGCAATAAACTTTTTATCGCAACTTTCACGAATAGGATATATGTATATATATATATACTTCGCAATTAGAACTGTCACTATTTATTGATATGATATAACCATATTACACAATTAATCGTCGTATGGAAGAGTTCGAATACTCGGAGAAAGCCTCCTATCGAGTAACAGAAACAATTACTCATTCATTATGTCAAGCGACAACCCAAAATGTTAAAGTTCAGCTTTGTCGGCCTATTCGCATTGAGGTATCACAAAAGATGCCGTCATAATTTCTTACGACTCCTTAGACTACAACACAGAAGAAAAAGACAGACGAAAGAATCCTTTTCAACTATTCGATAAGCATCTATAGAAAACTAGTTCACAAAGATTTCATCTGCGAACAATGACCATTGGAAAGTCTTTAACGACCTGGAGTATAGTCCGAAGAAGAACATATATGTGATTGGGAAGAATTTGCACCGTCCTTCAAGCAGAATAATATATGATCCGCACACGCGTCAAAATATTAAAAGCTTACTTGTTCGATATTTTTTTCAGTGCTGATGTTCTTTTAGCTATTTCATCATTACATTTTTGACGGGTATATTGATCTCCGGGACGAAGATCTTTTTCAGTCACACACTTGATTACTTGTCAAGATGGTCGATTAATTTTATAATAATTACCTACTTGATTTTTTTCAATTTTCGTGTCTATTGAAGTTTAAGTATCATCTTAGAGATTGATGACCGATTGGTTTTTAAACAGGTACTTATATTCTTAGAGTAAAAAGATTCGTTTAGAGTTTACCGAATTTCGAGGCCACTAGAATAATGTATTTGAAATTCATTATTCAAAGTTATACAGACATAAGTGCAGTTTTCATATTATAATGAATAGCCTTTCATTAAAAACAATTTACTTTCAATAAATTTTGAACTTTCTTATGAATTCAAAATTTAAACACTTTGATTATAGAATATAAAAAGACACTCAATTTCTTCAAATGTTCTTTGAAGAAAGAAAAGCTAAGGAAGCATTCTTTGCTACTTTAGCATGCATGTGTACGTGGTCCGTTGCCTCATCATAATCCGTATATCTTTTACGGTGATGTGTAGATATAGATGACTTTATGTAATATACAATCTCGTGTGAGCTTCTTCTTCCACGAGCTATATTTTCTCTCGCTACTTGTGGCTAGAAAATGACACGGTCAAAAACATCTACGAAATTGCTTCTAAGTTGACTTAGACGTACATGTCGCGTTATCAACTGTTATTTTTATTACATTATTGGTAGACATTCATTTTATACATGCGAATCGAAACACTGCTAAAGGTTTTTTTTATAAAGCTAGTTAATATTTATTCTAGTCAAACATAAGTACACTCGCCAGTTACCCAGTTACAAATAGAAAGCGTATCAACAAAAATTCTTAATAAAAATAATTCCATAACATCACTTGAAAAATATGAACAGATATCAAAAGATTTTGACATAATTACATATCTGTCAATTGTTACAATTCATTTTAAAAAGTGTAACGACAAACCTTATACATTCCAGAACATTTCATGATTTTTTTTAATATTACATTGAATATTAGTTTGACACTTGTATGCGTAACCATTGACAAATAGAAAATTAACATATTTAAACTGACGTTCGTAAAACAATAAGTATTGTTACAAAATCTTACAAAAAACATTTTTTTATAATATAACTGATTACATCGTAAGGATCGCTATAGCCGCTAGGTCTACCATCCTCAATGTACACTCTTTTCCCAGCCGAATGACAAATTCTAATCAGATCTAACGAATATAGACACCCTCTACCATAAACATCTTCCAAACTTTTTTGATCATATTCAGAGTACTTCAAGAATTTACTATAACAAGTTTCCATATATATTGCCGTTTTTGCTCTGTCGCGCATATTTCCAGATGAGAATCGATACTTGGTGCTCGGTCGATATTCTTCGGCAGGGTATTCGCCTGATGCAACGGTATTCAACGGTTCGAAAGTAATTGTCATATCAAGCTCTTGAGAAATACGACTTATTATAAAGCGAGAAACCCACAACATATCAGCTGCCTGTCGCCCCGTACATGGTCCAATCTGGGGATAAAATTTTTATGATGCGATGAATATTTTTTATAATGAAAATACGAAACGGAAAAAGTGCAAATCGATTTATACATTTAGCTTATATAACATACTTTGTATGACCAACATTCATTATGCGAAGATTTGTACGTGATACTGCATATTGGAATCAAAGCATTCACACAAGATTTGCCAAAAGCTTCAATAATTGCATGACACTTGGAAATGTGAAAGTCCAACATGTCAACGCATTCTTTGAATGTGAATTCCTGTTCAATTTCAAAAAGTAGATCCATTGTGACCACTTTATCAGATAAAATGATCTTCTTGTATGCTTGTCGCTTATTCTCTTTGTAACTTGGTTTTGCTAGATGAAGATCAGCCATTTCGCAAAGAACAAGCACATGATTTTCATTTGGATCAATATTATCAAATAACGAAACAGGACGAAGAGTATATTTTGATGAGTACTCTTCCAAAGGTAGTTCTATTGAAAAGTAAATGAAATATTTTTATTTGTAGTAATGCAACATTATTTTTTATTAATATTCTATATATACGTGCACATGCTTGTGTGTCCGTACATATTCTTACCAGAAATTCCTTGTATAGATCCGGAAATTATCATAATTTTACTCCTGATTATTTTTGCATCATCAATCCATACATAATCAGCTCTACTCGTTTGCTTATTGATTAAGGAATTCCACAAAATTTGCTCTGACGGTGGCAATGAAACTTTGCTAACACGACGAAAATCCTCGAACGCGCAATCCATTGGGCTTCTATTTTAAAAGGAAATAACAATCGAGTTACAATAACAATTCAATTATTCAATTTAGTATAAAAATTGATAGAAATCATTACCTTAACATTTGTTGTTAGTAAGAATGACTAAATTATAATTAATTTAATTTACATAAAAATAAGATAAATGAATGGATCAGTTTTGAAATAGAGATGTTGATATTCTCAATTCAGCTAAAATTATTGTAATCCACAATTGAACAAATTCCACAGCATCGAGGGTAATAACAATCTGTTTATGATTAATAAATTTTATATTTTTTCAAACTTAACTTCGTGAAACATTAGTAGAACTAACTCTTCCTGGTTTCCAGTGTATATCAGTGAGAATAATATTAATACTTGCAAGTAGTTACTAGGCACACAAACCACAGAAGTTTCCCAAGTACTGAACTAGTCTGATTTTCGACCGTTGACCTAAACTGTCGGATAATATTTTGCTTCTACGTTTTCTTTTCTCCCCAGTAGAGTTTGAACTTATCTACCTGAGCATGTTTCTAGTTAATGTGTTATTATTTACTTTATATCAACTTACGTAGTTCTTACTTATTTTTGTTATTATTACAACTATTCATAATAATATTAATCAATTAATTGTTTCTTTTAACATTTTATAAATCATTTCGTGTTAGGAAAATGTTTACTTTTGTTCCAATTTTAATAACGTGGAAATATCGTTATTCTTCAGTACGAATACAATTATAGTAAACTACTGGACAAAGGGAATAAATCAATTTAAGAATAGAGATGTTGATATTTTTAACTCCATTGAAATGAATGTCATTCTCAGTTGAAAATATGTATGTAGAAAAGGTTTTTTGTTTAATCAACCTTTGCGACAATTAGAAAAAAAAATTTTCACACGATGCCAAAATGTTTCATTATACAGCACTTTAGCATTTTTGGATAGCATAAATTTTGCTATAAATGTCTATTAGAGCTCGCTGTTCCACTAAGTAAATTAATAACAGCAAAACAGGCTAAACTAAAAATAATCGAAGCCTAGCATGTTTTTATTTTCCAGAATGTATAGCTATTGCACAGCAGTAGCATAAATTGATGACGATCAAAAAAAGAAAAAAGAACAACTCGCCTTCTGTTCTTCCTTCTCTTTCGAAGCTCACTATTCACATGCTATACTCCTCTTTGCTTTTACTTCAAAACAATGAGTGCGACGTGAATCGCCAAGCGCCTCAAAAATCAGATGAGTGATCGAAAAAATTTTACTAGAGGGAATTAAGCAATACATGCCATGCCACGTAATAACACAGGTCAGACTTCCGCGAAGACGATCGAGTGCGTTTTATTGTTGCTTTATCTATTTTTCGTCTGCTTTAGCTGCTGGATTTTCAATTCAGAGTCACGTAACGTAAGTGAGCGCGCAAGGTTTTGTGTACTTTTGTTCGGTACTGTTTGAATGCGTTTACTTACAATAATTCTTAATGCTCTGCGTGTGGCTATTATATTACGTGTTTACGTGAAGGAATATAAAAATTCAATTACTTTCTTCTCACTTTAATACATTAACTGAGGAACGTAATAGTTATTAAACAGTAAGGTATGACATATTCACTTTAATTGTCATTACACATATATAATTACAAACAAAAATTTAAAAAAACAATCATGTTCTAAGAATCAATGAACATATTTAAAACTGTAAGTTTTGAGATCAACTCAACTGTAACATTCGTTTTTTACAAACATCTCCACTTTATAAATCCGTATTTCAAAACAGCTATATTTACGATATAAACATGTTATACATTAATCATCGAATAATTTCAAATTATCTCTGCAGACATTCATATTATTTTTTTAAAATGGACATTCTTCTTACTATTAATTCACAATTCAATAACCAATTTTCATATTAGCTTGTTGAAAGGCCAGCTAACAAAAAGAATAAAAACTTCTTACTGAATATAACATTAACCTTTCAAATCAATCAACCAGATATTAGTAAAAATAAAGTTCAAATTTAATGATCGTGCGATCTCGATTCATATTTGCTTGAATTTGATCTCATATCGTACTTCGAGATGAACCTGCTTAGTTTCTCCTTATAAGTCGGTTTGACAATCTTTTTCTCTTTTGTTTTTGTTGTAGACTTTTTGATTGGTCGATGGATTTCTTCAGACGAACTCAATGACGATGAGCTACATTCACATTCGTTCGACGATGATTCATCGCTTGAGCTATCACTGGAGTCATTTTGTTCCTGAAGACACCTCCAGCATTTGCAATGATCGCCACTAGATTCGCTGCTGAACTCATAGCTACAAGAACAATCAGTCGAACACTCGGACGAGCTATCGGAATCCGACGGAATGCTAATGTGCACTTAAATATTTAATATAATATATTGATTGCGTATTACAAAGCAAGTCATATTTTGATTTACAGAACATTTAAGATGCAGATACTTACATGAGTTAATTGTTCCTATCGTAGTCCCAATGCTGATTTTGGAAAAATGATGGCTCATACCTTCAATCGCTTTAGCAACTTTTAAGTCGTTTTTCAATTCTTTGCTCATTCTTTTTTTCTCATGATGGCGTGTCGGCTGTTCATTGTATTTTGTTGCACTTTTATGTTTTTCACATAGGGTTTCATCTTCCTTTGATTTTTTCTTCGTTTTCGGGGACGATAATGTCGCTAGCTTTTCCTTACATGCTTTTTTCGGTGATTCGTTTTTCTTCGACAACTCTGAACTCTTTGGGCTTTTTGAAGTTGATTCTAAAACTTTGGATCCTTTTGACTTTGGTTTTGGTTGAACCAGATTCGTTACTAGCTTATCAGATTTTTTCGTTAAATTTCTAATCTTGGATAAATCTGAAAGAATTGGAGATTGTGGATCTGGCAACCTTTCGCTGCTGTCACCATCATTTACAGGCTCTAGCTTTACCGGTAACAAATGTTGAGCACCAGCTGTAAAATGAAACATTATTTAAAAATAAGAATATATTTATACCTAGATTATTTCTTACCTACAGATGGTTGTTGGTTTTCATCACAAAATGTTTCGTCATTTTCTATAAAAGTTGAATCCGTCATAGTATCTTTCGAATCTTTATAACTAAAAAATATAATCCCATCAGAATTGATATTTTGATCAGCATTCATATTATTTTTATTTTTTTCAGCAGCTTCAGACCGTAGAGTGACATTAGCAATTTTTTTATTTATTTGTTCAACTAAAAAATTGAAATAATAAAGACTTCAAATAATGTTATATTCAATACAACTGCACCTCATATATGAAAAATACAAACATGTGTCGTTTGGGAGATGTTCTTTGAGAAATGTCGCATCATGATGAATGCTGGAGTGAACTGAAACATTATCAATATTATTTAACATACAATATTACATTTTAAAGTAGAATTATTCGCAATACTATTTTCACCAGTATTATTAATTGTCTCATTGGAAATATTCATTGACATTCCTACAGTTACGTCGTCCCGCGACAAGTTTGTTGATGCGCTTAAATTGATCTTCTCACCTAAAAATAATTTATATATAAAAGAAAATTAAATACGTATGTATAAAATACATGATATGTGCGTATTTTGAATAAAATATATTGAAATGAGTAATTTACCCGTAGATGCTTCTGTGATCACTTGCAATGGTATTGGATTATCACTAATGTCGAGGTTAAAGTCATCAGAATGATTTTGTACTTCGTAATTTCTTATATTGTGAGTACTCATGTCACGATTTATAGAAGAATCCTCTTCAATCAAAATATTTGTTTTTGATTTTGTTGATGTGGGTTTATCTTTGATTCCCGTAAAAACAAAGTCATTTTATAAGGTATTTTTCGAAATTGTATATTTTAACACTAAGTCGTACTGACCTCCTTGAGTTTTTACCGTATAGTTCATTAGAAATCCTTCTGCACCCATGATAACAATGGTGATTAATGATAATTTGTATTTTTTTTACTTGAATATAAATTTACCTCCTTTATCTGCTTCAAGGTTACTGCAGAAATCAATCAGTTTTTTTCTCGTTTGAATGTTTACTGATGAATTATTTTCGAACATACTACTTGACTGAAAATAAAAAAATATAAATTAGAAACAAATTGAACACAAGCATTGTACAGGTATATATTATAATATCAATATTTACCTGTAAACCTATGGAATTATCATTTGCATCACCTGTCGTGTTTGCATCTAAAATACACAAGATAATAATGTGTAATTACAAAATAGAAATATTGAGAATATTCTCTGTACAATGTGTAGAGTTATTCACTATATTTAATACTACCATCTCTTTTTTCAATGATCGCTTCTTCTTGATGAGTAGAATCGACTAAATCTGTTACATCCGTATCTTTGAACAACGCCTTCTTCCTCTCCATTGGATTCTTTTTCTATACAAATTAATGAACACTTATTCCTAATCGAAATTACGAATCAAAGTAAGTACATACAGATGTCTTTACTGGCCTAGGAATTTTACTCTTAGCGGAATTCTTGTTTTTCTTCTTTTTATTCGATTCTGGCGAATGGACTGAGGGCTCATGTTCATTGGTTAACAAATCGTTTAAAGCGGGATGCGGTTCAAACTGTGAACTTTGCATGGTTTCTTTACTTTGAGGGATGGAATGAACTGAATCTGTCGGATCCATATTATCTAACTGAGCCTTTTCATTATTAGCTGTCAACATTTTCTGTACAAATAAATAAAAATTTATTCCAACACTATATTATACACTATATTATAAATAAAAACAATTACAACTGTTTTTCTTGGTCGAGCTACTTTCACTTTGATAATATCTTTGTGTTTAGCTTCAATGTTCGATTTGTTTTCCTTCTCAACCACAGAATTTGCTAATTGAGGAGACGCGTTTACTTTTTTGCGTTTACTTTTTGGTTTTGATTCACCTTAAAAAAATAGAACATAAATTTACAAACGTGTTAGTTAATATATTAGTAAAAATGTATATGATCACATGATATATTACATAAAATGTTTGAAATGAGTTACCTTCCGTTTGGTGAACGCTGTCGGTAATCACGGCATCTTCCGTCATGCTCGATGCAGTGCCGCTTATTGACGGCATCTCAAGTGTTTCTCCTTGTGCTCCGGCTTTCCTCTATAATCACTCAAATGCCTTAAAGTAACATCTTGCTCATAATAACTGACTTACTAGATCTTACCTTTGTTTCCCTAGGCTTTTTGGCCGTAGGCTTCTTGATAGCGTTCTTGTTATCAGTAATGGGATTTGGATCTTGTTTTTGATTTTCGGTGTTCTTCTTGCTAACAGTACGTTTTTTCTTCATTTCTGTTAAAAACGAGAAAAATTCTATTCATAACAATCAACTCAAACTAAAAAAAAATTACGCAAATTCAAACCACCGTCATTTTTCAATTCATGGAGATCCTTATTGTGATTAGCACAAGAAGAGCACAACTTCACGACCGTGCCGCGCTTGAATTTCATTTCTTTCCTAGGTGTTGCAGTTTTCTTGGGCGATGCCAAGCTACCATTCCCGCCACCATCATCCCCGACCTTCTTTTTCAACAAACTTTTCAGTCTGTTCAGCTCAACTGGCGAATTTTCTTTCTTTTGTTTGGTAGCAAAACGACGGACCGGTGAATCAGACGCAACACTTGCCATTTTTATAGACTACAGAATACCAAAGTTCGATATGCTCGCAAATACGGAAAATTGAACAACTACTATAACTGAAAAGAAACCAAATGCGACCGAAAGTTTCAAGGATTGGCTAGAAACTGACCGTCGAAATTTTCTCCGGCTTGATATTTGACATAAACGCTGTGGATACACACGCATACACATACACCAGAAACTGAATTTGTAAACATACGTCTGAGATAAATAGAACCCACACCACACATCATTAATCGTAGCTTCTTATATCACCTAGACGCAAAAAAGCGACACTTTCAACTATTTATAATAATATTTTCGATATTTTATAATCAATTTATCGGAGCAAAAAGAATATAATAATGAGCTTTTATAGATACATGAACAAATGCTTGCTTCATAACACCACTGTTATTACATTAAAATTTTTATCAAACACCAACATTGTTTATTTTCACATAACAGCGATATAATTAGAAAGTTATAATTTTGAAAATCATATAATTATATATTTATTAGTCGATAAAACAAATATAAATAAACTTGATTGAATATCGTATTCTCTAAGCTACAGAGTGATTAATTTATCAGTATTTAGTTTGTAATGTTCATTGAGAATAGATAAGTCGTTCAAATAATACCATATAAATATTATAGAAATATCGAGACTAAAATTATGATGTTAGAATTCTTACTTTCTGAAAAATAAATTTCTTAAAACCGAAGAAAATCACAATCTGTTCGTGATGAATATATCTTGTAATCTGAAAAAATCTTTTAATTGTTAAAATTAAGTTAAAAAAAAATAGAACTACCTTCTTCTGGGAAGTAGTTTATATCAATAAAAATAACTTACACGTTCGCGTACATATTCTACACGCAAATCACAGATGTTTTTCGAAAACTAATCAACCTAATCTGATATTTTCATTTAGCATTTAGTTTCCAGTAGATTGTAAACACATCTATCAAAACGGAATTCTATTTCTAGTGAATGTATATTATATTTATGAAAGAATTACGTGATGGAGTAATGAAATTTCACTTTTATTCAAATTTTAGTAACGTAAAAATATTGTTATTTCTCCGTATGAATATAATTATAGTAATTATTCGACAAATAAATGGATTGATTTTTTTGGAGAAAAATGAATGTTTCCTCATTTGAAAACGTAGAAAAGGGGTTTTGTTTAATCAAACTTTGCAACAATTAGAAAGGGAATTTTCATGTGATGCCAAAATGTTTCACTAGAGTGTACTTTAAAATTTTTGAATAACTTTAATTTTGTTATAAACCCTCAAATTTGATGGCCTACAATTATCTCATTCGTCAATTCTAAGTTCACGAAGTTTTTTCCTAAAACAGATTGTAATTCTCGTAACTATTAAATGATTTTCAAAGTAAAAAAACCAAGTTATCTGAGAAATGTAGAATACATTATGAGTTTTGAATCTCTTTGGATTGATAGCGTTGTTTAAATCAATGGAGATTCGTGTAAAAGAATATTGTTCATATATATCACGTAGAAAAAGTTACATTGTTTTCACGTCTATCGGTGAATCGAATCATATCTCTAGAAAACAAAACACTATCGGAATTCGGAATCGACATCGTTTTCGTTGTATATAGTCTTGTAAATTTTATATGTAGATGCAGTAGCCAATATATAATGGTATGAAAGATATTTCAAAATAAATAATTAATTCTCTTAATGTATGCGTGTAATAAGTTTTGAATCTTAATATAATATTAATCCATTATTCCTTATCATGATTAATTTGATCATTGGTCAAAGAAATAAAAAATTTTAAGTATCTTTAACAGAACCTACTAATTGATTTCAACAAGATTCTTTTCATTGTATTAGGCATTTACGTAAATTGAAAATTTAAAACCAAGCAGATTTATGATAGTAACGATAAAATGAACTTTCATATTTACGTAATAAAAGTACACAAGTCATTATACTTTTTCCAAACAATGCCCATTAGAGATCGATATGTATCATAAAGTAAATTAATATCAGAATTAATATCAGCCAAAAAGTCTAAACTAAAATAATCGGAACTACTAATATGTTTTTTTTTCTGAAATATATAGTTAATGTATACCAGTGGCCTAAATCGATGATCAAAAATAATTAAAAAGAAAAAAAACGACTCGCCTTCTCTTTCTCCTCCTCCTATTTCAAAGCTTACTATACACATCCTATACTCCTCTTCGCTTTTAGCTGAAACAATAACTGCCACAGGAATCGCCAAACGCCGCGGAAGTCCGATGATTGATCGAAAAATTGTTACTTAATAGGGAATTAAGCAACATATGCCGTGCCCCGTACCAATACAAGTAAGAGTTTCGCGTGGACGATCGAATGCGTTTTATTGTTACTAAATCTCTTTTTCATTTGCTTTAACTGCTGGATTTTTGATTCAAAGTCCTGTGACGCAAGCCAGCAAGCGAGGTTTTTGTACATTTGTCCGATGCTGTCTAAATGTGTTTACTTAGAGCGATTCTTAATACTCTGCGCGTGGCTATTGTATTACATTTTTATGGGGGGGAAATACAATGCTACTCTTTTCAAAAGTTGTAATTCGTGTAGATAATTAATAATATTAACTACGAAACGTAATCATTAGTAATCAATAAAGTATGACAAATTCACTTTAATTATAAGTGTACACATATAGTTGTAAAAAAATAACATACAAATCAATCGTATCCTAAAAGTCAATGAACATATTTAAAATTGTAAGCTTCGAGATCAACTCAATTCAAATCGTTCGTTTTTTACAATCATCTCCACTTTATGAGTCAGCATTTCAGAACAACTACATTTACGATATAAACGTCCTATGCATCAATCATTGAACATTTTCAAACGAACTCTACAAATATTCAAATTTATATAAAAACATAGACATTTTTTTACTCCTAGTTCACAATTTAATAAATTATTCTAATATTAACTTGTTGAAAGCCCTAATAAAAAGAACAAAAATTTAATAATGAATACAACATTAACCTTTAAAATCAATCAACTAGATATTACTAACAATAACGTTCAAACTTTAGGATTATAGGATCTCAATTCATATTTTCTTGTATTTGATCTCAAATTGTAGTTTGAGATTATCTTGTTTAGATTCTCCTTATCGGTAGATTTGACTATCTTTTTCTCTGTTGTTTTTGTTGTAAATTTTTTGATTGTTTCATCTTTCTTTGATTTTTTCTTCGTTTTTGGCGGCGACGGTGCTGGCAACTTTTCCTCGTTTGCTTTTTTCGGTAATTTGTCTTGCTTCGATAACTTTGTGTTTTTTACAGTTGATTCTAAAACTTTGAATGCTTTTGACTTTGATTTCGATTCATCCGACTTCAATCGTGTACGTGGTAAAGTTTTGCTGTTCTCATCGTAATCTACAGGATTTCGCTTTGTCGGTGTTGAATGTTTAGTACCAGCTGTAAAATAAAACATTAAAAAATAAGAACATATTAATACCTAAATTAATTCTTGCCTGTAGATGGTTGTTGGTTTTCATCGAAAAATATTTCGTCATTTTTCTTAAAAGCTGAATCCGTCATAGTATCTTTTGAATCTTTATGACTAAAAAATATAATCCCTTCAGAACTGATATTTTGATCAACATTCATATTATTTTTATTTTTTCCAGATGCTTTAGACCTTTGAGTGACTGTAGCAATTCTTTTATTTATTTGTTCAACTAAAAATTTGAAATAATAAAGACCTCGAATACTGTTATATTAAATATAACTGCACTTCATATATTAAAAATACAAACCTGTGTCGTTTGGGAGATGTTTTTTGAGAAATGTAGCATCACGATAAATACTGGAGTGCACTGAAACATTATTAATATTATTTAACATACCAATATTACATTTTAAAGTAGAATTGTTCGCAATACTATTTTCACCAGTATTATTAATTGTCTTATTGGAAATATTCATTGACATTCCCACAGCTATGTCGTCCTGCGACAAGTCTGTTGATGCGCTTAAATTGATCTTCTCACCTAAAAATAATTTATATATAAAAAGAAATAAAATATTTATGTATAAAATACATGATATGTAAATATTTTGAATAAAATATATTAAAATAAGTAGTTTACCCGTATCTATTTCTGTAATCATTTGCAAGGGATTGTCACTAATGTCAAAGTCGAAATCATACAGAACTCCATCACGATTTTGTACTTCCTGGTTTCGTATAACGTCAATACTTATGTTATGAGTTATAGAAGAATCCCCCTCAGTTAAGTTGTTTGATTTTGTTGATGTGGATTTATCTTTAATTCCCGTAAAAACAAAGTCATTTTATAAGGTATTTTTCGAAATTGTATATTTTAACACTAAGTCGTACTGACCTCCTTGAGTTTTTACCGTATCGTTCATTAGAAATCCTTCTGCACCCATGATAACAATGGTGATTAATGATAATTTGTATTTTTTTTTACTTGAATATAAATTTACCTCCTTTATCTGCTTCAAGGTTACTGCAGAAATTAATCAGTTTTTTTCTCGTTTGAATGTTTACTGATGAATTATTTTCGAACATACTACTTGACTGAAAATAAAAAAATATAAATTAGAAACAAATTGAACACAAGCATTGTACAGGTATATATTATAATATCAATATTTACCTGTAAACCTATGGAGATATCATTTGCATCACCTTTCGTGTTTGCATCTAAAATACACAAGATAATAATGTGTAATTACAAAATAGAAATATTGAAAATATTCTCTGTACAATGTGTAGAGTTATTCACTATATTTAATAATACCATCTCTTTTTTCAATGATCGCTTCTTCTTGATGAGTAGAATCGACTAAATCTGTTACATCCGTATCTTTGAACAACGCCTTCTTCCTCTCCATTGGATTCTTTTTCTATACAAATTAATGAACACTTATTCCTAATCGAAATTACGAATCAAAGTAAGTACATACAGATGTATTTATTGGCCTAAGGATTTTACTCATAGCGGAATTCTTGTTTTTCTTCTTTTTATTCGATTCTGGCGAATGGACTAAGGGCTTATGTTCATTGGTTAGCAAATCGTTTAAAGCGGGATGCGGTTCAAACTTTAAACTTTGCATGGTTTCTTTACTTTGAGGGATGGAATGAACTGAATCTGTCGGATCCACATTATCAAACGGAGCCTTTTCATTATTAGCTGCCAACATTTTCTATACAAATAAATAAACATTTATTTCAAGAAACTATTCTATTTTATAAATAAAAACAATTACAACTACTTTTCTTGGTTGAGCTACTTTCACTTTGATAATATCTTTGCGTTTAGCTTTAACGCTCGTTTTTTTTTTCTTCTCAACCACGGAATTTGCCAATTGAACAGACGCGTTTACTTTTTTGCGTTTACTTTTTAGCTTTGATTCACCTTGACAAAATAGAACATTAATTTTCAAAACGTAGAATTTAGTATATTAATAAAAAAATTATATAATCACATGATATATTACATAAAATGTTTGAAATGAGTTACCTTCCGTTTGGTGAACGCTGTCGGTAGTCACGGCATTTCCCGTCATGCCCGATGCGGTGCCGCTTATTGACGGCATGTCAAGTGTTTCATCTTGTGCACCGGTTTTTCTCTATAATCACTCAGATGCCTTAAAGTAACATCTCGCTCACAATAACTGATTTACTAGATCTTACCTTTGTTTCCCTGGGCTTTTTGGCCGCAGGCTTCTTGATAGCGTTCTTGTTATCAGTAATGGGATTCGGATCTTGTTCTTGATTTTCGGTATTCTTCTTGTTGACAGTACGTTTTTTCTTCATTTCTGTTAAAAACGAGCAATATGCTATTCATAACAACCAACTCAAATTAAACAAAAAATTACGTAAATTTAAACCTCCGTCATTTTTCAGTTTAAAGTGATCCTTATTGCGATTAGCACAAGAAGAGCACAACCTCACGACCGTGCTGCGCTTGAATTTTATTTCTTTCCTAGGTGTTGCAGTTTTCTTGTGCGATGCCAAACTACCATTCCCGCCACCATCATCCCCGACCTTCTTTTTTAACAAATTTTTCAGTCTGTTCAGCTCAACTGGCGAATTTTCTTTCTTTTGTTTGGTAGCAAAACGACGGACCGGTGAATCAGACGCAACACTTGCCATTTTTATAGACTACAGAATACCAAAGTTCGATATGCTCGCAAATACGGAAAATTGAACAACTACTATAACTGAAAAGAAACCAAAAGCTACCGAAAGTTTCAAGGATTGGCTAGAAACTGACCGTCGAAATTTTCTCCGGCTTGATATTTGACATAAACGCTGTGGATACACACGCATACATATACACTCAGAAACTGAATTTGTAAACATACGTCTGAGATAAATAGAACCCACACCACACATCATTAATCGTAGCTTCTTATATCACTTATACGCAAAAAAGCGACCCTTTCAACTATTTATAATAATATTTTCGATATTTTATAATCAATTTATCGGAGCAAAAAGAATATAATAATGAGCTACACGCATATACACACACAAGCTGAATTTGTAACATACGTCTAAGATACGTGCACGCAGAGCAGAGAGAGAGAGAGAGAGAGAGAGAGAGAAGTTAAATTCGTAAACATACGTTAGAAACAAATATAACATAAACCACACAACTTTAATCGTAGCTTCTTGTATAACAGCGCGACAAGCCAACTGTTTCAATTCTCGACAATATTCTTGATGTTTCATAATCAATATATCTGAACGGCAAGGTAACAGTCGAGCTTTTAGGGGTGTATGAAAAACTTATTGTTGCTTAATATTAGAACTTTTATTTCATTTTAATTTGTATCAATCGCCCATTTCATTACTTACAGAAAAAATTTGAAAAAGTGATGATTTTTGAAAATCGCATCAACGACGTATTTATTAGTCGATGAAACAAACACAAAAGAAACTTGATTGAATATCATGCCATTAGAAGCAAGCGTATGACCGTAAGATAAGATACCTTTTTTTAAACTAGATTATTCATTAAATATTCTATAGCTTTTATTAAAGGCTACTAAAGCGGAAAATGGGCGAGGTAAAATGTGAACTTCCAGTGATTTAAAAAATAACGATTGAAATTTTCAACGACTTTCCAGCTATCAGTCAGAAGTGCTTCATGTAATCATTTTCATAATACTTAATCTATAAATTGTATAAATATTCTAAAACAAAAGTTAATACACAGCATAATATAACTATGAAAAGTATCAATTGTAACATTCAACAAATTTAAATGTGATTCATTTATTTATACGAGTTATTCCTACCAATAATTGTATGGAGCATTTAAAACGATAGATAAATTTTATTTAACTATAAAAATATCATTACATTATATCAAGTACTTACTACATTTGTATCTGTTAAAATTGAAAAATTCACAGTCTCTTACAAAATTAGATCTTTAAATTGTTTTGTTCTTCGTTAATTATTGTGAAACGTTTATTAATGGATATTTAAATTTAAAAAAAATGAAACAGAACAATTATCGCCTTTTATTATATTGAAACAGGGATGACTATAACCGCAAAAATGAATGATTCGATTTCAATTATATTTTACTTCGTAAATCACGAGTATCATCAACCTCCATAAAAACTAATCGACGACAAAGCAATTTGAATAGACAATAAAAGAAGTTTCATTGTTGAATTCGCTCTCTCTCTTTCTCGACACGGTTTGCTGTTCCTAAAACAATTACGAATTTCAAAATTAACGAGATAATCAAGGTGAGAAAATTTGCAGTCGCGGCACCCTTGAATCTGACGACGTTATCCAGCAGAGTGCATTACAAAGATATATATTTACGAGAGAAGAGAGAGGGAAGCTCGCGATATATAACGTTTAAAACCCACAATTATGCTTTCAGCGCGGCGCGGTGGCCTCTCCTATTCTATCTTTCGCTCGCTCGTTCGTTCGCGCGATGAGCAATAACTGTACCGTGCGCACACTATAGCATGGCTGTTTGAGAAAAAAGAAATAACTTTTTCGCTGTAGGTATTGTGTAAAGGTCATTTTCATCTCACAAAAGTGGGATTGTTCTTTGTTAATTTTTTTTTCAGTCACTTACGTTGTTTATTATGTTCCTGCGAAGGATAAAATTAATTGCACGTCAACAGATTTCTTATACTTGATCTCAAAGTTTCAGACATATCCATTATTACACTTTGTTTTCAGGTTGTTATGGAAAAATAACGATTATTTGATGTTGATTAAAATAAATGCTTAATTAGTTGTTTTTTCAGGATTATCATTTTTATACAAGTACAATTATCAAAAGGAAAAGTTTTATACTGACAATTATCAAAAGGAAAAGTTTTATAATGATTAAAGTAAAATATCAATGAACTTAAATTATACTAATCGACTTATATACACAATAAAAATATGTCACATACTTTCAAAGCATCACTAATCGGCATTATTTTTGAGCCCATTATTGTTTATGTGTCGTAATAGCTAAGGGAACGATGCACCGATCATGATAAGTGGAGCCATTTCATCTCGTTGTCGTGAAAATAAGAAGCAGGATTGGGAAGAGATTTAAAACATCACGATATTGTGCGATATCGCAACTAAAATTACCTTGCAGGTCAGGGACGTTTATAAAAGCGCGCGTGCACAACCAAAAAGAACTATCGAACCGAAGACGGTCGAAAATGTCTCAGCTTACGTCGTTCTCATCTAGGTACTGGAGTTACCTTTTGTCGAAGATACGTTTAGGTATACGCGTCATTCAAATTTAAATTTCGTGCCCGGTTAATTTACCTAAATTGATGTGCAGTCGTGCGGCATACCTTTTATCCAACTAAAGTACGTTAACGTGATAGAGAACTTTTCATGCAACAGTTGAGATCTTGAAAATTGAAAGTGGATCGCCCGAGAATTTGACATTTAACAAGTGTATAATAATGGTAATTAAGAAAACTAAATCGATATTACTTTTAATGTTATTGCTCGATTTTGTTCGAGTAACAGTATTTTTATTACGGAGGAATAAGTCAAATTTCTTAATTTGTTCAAGTAATATTTTACTATCGTGATCAGTTTTTAAGAAGTTCTACGATCGATTATGGAAATTGAAATTGCCTAAAAAAATATACAGAGTTAATCTTGGAGTTATCAAAGACGGTATTTCACTCTAAATCATTTAATGTGTTATCTGACGGCTTGTAGCACGCAGTAATAGTGGCTAATTCTTTGAGATTTAAGATTTCAACTCCGTATGATTCCATACGGCATATATCTTGCATATTTTTCATTTCTATATAATTATATGATTTCTCAATAAAGAGAATTATTATTACGTAAAGTAAAGTCCTTTCGTAAAGTGTTAAAAGGTGTAAACTGAAAATCAATATCATCCATACGCTATGATTCGATGGAAATGAAAATATCAAAATCTTGGATTATTTTAGTAATCTCTTTCAGTTCATTGCGCATGATTTGCGTATTCCAATGATTTACGGCAGAAAATATTTTTTTGGAGTTCAGTAAGCATGACGACCAGAACGTCTATATTCTCTATGACGTATTGTTTAACTAAAGAAGGAACGCCAACATATTTAATACTGTACGTCTCCACAGGTTCTTAAAAGACAATATAAACGCGGTCGCCAGATCATCCGGAATTTTTTTAGATGCCTCTTCACTCCGTGCTTTAAGATTGTGGCGGGGGGGGGGGGGGGGGGTGGATAACTGATATTTTTTCTTTTTTGAGGGTTCCTTGGGTATCTGTCTCTTGTTTCGTCATCTGGTAGAGTATCCGAAATCAAGGAGACACTATAGGGAGTTAGACTTTCTATTTCCATCAAATTATCAACTAAATTAAGTCTCCTAAATAAGGGTGTTCCATGAAATTCCAATAATCATGGCGTTAGAGTCGTCGTCTTAACTTTCTTAATTTTGTGTATTCCATCAATTTCCATCATCGAGCTGTTATATATTACTAATGTTATTAGGAGTGTTATATACTGTTGAGTAGATTCAAGCGAGTTTAGTCTGTTTGTCTATGAATTATTAGCAATGGAATGACATCTCGCCGTATGGCAAAGATTTTAATTACAAATTAAACATATAATTTTGTCTGCTGAGAGGTACACATGATGTATGGTGTCTTCATAATTGATTGTAATTTCCTTTGGTAGTTTGTTACTTCTATAGTTGACCAATAAACAGTTCTCGACCGAGCTAGAATTTAAGAGAATCCAGATTGCTCAATTCCTACTTTGATATAGCTCATGCAAGATTTTGGAGCGATGCCTTTACTTTTTAATTCATCAGTAATGATTACATGCGGGATGCAAAGATACATGTTCTGTACACGGGTACAGAAAAGATCACTCTTTTGGATTTTAGCAGGTACGACCTTATTTTCAGTTTATGCCTATTTCTATCAATGTCGTTATTTTTTTCTGTTATTATCCGGTTAACTAATTTTGTATCATTCGAATAGCAACAAATTCTGTTTTGCGATATCTTTGACGTAACGACGATAGTTATGGGGACTATTTTCCTGACTATGGCTTTCAAGTATGTTTCGATAAGTGCACCTTCAACCGCATCTACAACGATTATCTAACTTTTTTCGGGAACATATTATTTAAAACAGCTTTAGAAAACGAAGGTGCTTTGTTTTTGGCTATTTGTCTACTTGTTATATTATCGACACTGTTTGGTAATAGGTGATCACTCCCAGTTTACTTCTGAACTCCGTTGTAGTTACTGATTAATTAATAAACTTTCTCTTAATAATCAATTATCGTATACAGGTAAGATATAAAGCACGCTACGGTCAGACCGCGACGTCTGTATACAAACAGGTGAGAGTAATCGTGCGACGTTCCGATCGCTCCTATTATCATTGCTGCATTTGTATACTATTGAAACCTAAATACAGAATTTAAAATGAAGGTTAAAAACATATCTACAAGATAAATGTACGACTCATTGCTATTTACTCTAAAAAATTAATCAACGAAAATGACATTAGCAAACCCAAAGTTTCGACCTTACCAAGACGGCATAGCAATATACTACTCGAAGCTACCCTCCATTCTTTCTCTCTCAATACACACTCGTCATTCGCGAATATTAAAGTAAGGTCTCGCGAGTCACGGCAGCGTCGGAAATACGATTGCGAGCGCTCGCCGTTGCGAAAAAGCTCGTATAATTATTTATTGAGGATGCACGCTGGATCAATCATACAAAAGCTGGTATCGTCGGGAAACGCTCGCAAGAAGAGATCGATTTGCGTGACTGGCGTTTAATAATAGCACGCGCGCGCGCGCGCGCGCATTTATGTAAGCGTGCGACTCTTGCACAAATACGCGTACAACAATATAACGCATTAATC